GAAGGGGTGATAAGGGGGGGTAGGGGTAGAGAGTGAAAGTGGTAGAGGGGGCTGCGCAAGCAGCATAGCGAGCGTAAGCGAGCGTTTGATACTTATAATAATAATAATAATAATAATAATAATAATGGGAAACTCACGGTTCTCTCCTAAGAGCATACTCTTCTTCACATCTTTCAGCGTCAAATATATCCCATTACTAGGAATCACGAGGGTCACCAAAGCCTGCGATAATGCCGGGAGAGCTCCCAATTCCCAGCAGTAAACATGGGCGCGATGATCTAACAAAACTGTATGGGAGGCTGCACCAGGTGCGTGCGGAGGCAAATTTGGTTTCACATCGTCCCTGAAAGCGCTCACCGCGCGGCTTCTTTGCCTGTAAGCTCGTGAGCTTATTTTGAAGCACTTGACAGAGGTGTCACCGGCTTCGTCGTATATCTTGGCCCCAACTGAGGCTTCGAGAATTGCCTACTGGTATCAGCGAAATACCGAACTTTTAATATGTCCTCCTTGTATCATTTGTCCTTGGATCAAATGGATTGAAGCTGCTATAAGACAGTGCACGTCACTATCCAACCAAATTGGACGATGTAGAGTTGTCCTTTTGCTGGGAGTAAAGCGGCTTTCCTCACCTGTATTATGTTTTCCGTAGGTACTGTCGAAACATCGGACCTGAAGTCATCCCCTGCTTTCTGGATGGATGGCCCTTGTCAGGTTCGGCCTTGTTCGGCATTGCTGAGTATCTGTACGTTTTATTCACGTCATTCTCCACAGACTCTGGTTTTATCTTAGGAGCTAAGTTGCTGGGAATATCGCTAACGCTGGGAGTTATTGCGGGGAGTTGATTCCGTTGAAGCGGGTAGGGGTGACTTAATTAAAGGGACGATATGGAGTATATTTTAACTTTGCAGGTCGTAGAGTCGTTATTTCGACTGAGACAAAAGACCAATTGAAGAAGTAAATTCCATACATTTTAGGAGAGGTAGGTAGAGTTGCATTTTATAGAATACCCCTCGAAGTTGGCTATTGCATTGCCGGTCCCCTCATGTGGGAAAGTACTTTAGTGGTTGGAGAAAACCTCGCCAGAAAAGATCGGGAAACTAAAACTTCCACTCGCCGAGGAGTACATTCCGCTCAATATTTGACTGTCATTATTATTAATTTTGTGGTCAGCCGCTATACTGCATCCGCAAAATCACTTTCATATGTCTCATCGTCTTGTGACAACTATGCTCTGGCAGGGCTGTCATTGTAGAAAGAAGCGGCCACGTCTGTCTTGCTGTTTTCTCTAAATTTAGCCAAAGTCATCTTGCCATCCGGATACATCCCAGATCCCTGTCATATCAAATGGGAACCCATCCATTGTACCGAATGTGCCAGAGATCGACATCATGTCATTGACAATGTCATTCTGCGTTAGATTATCTGGAAGAGGGAGAGCAGCAAGATCGGGTGGTTGATTGGTTTGATCCGCGCCTGGCGCCTCATCGGAAGTGATTCCAGGTTGTTTGGTCAAGATCCGTTCGCAATGATCAAGACACATATCGGCAAGATCCCAGTCATACTCTACTCGGGCTCGGTATAGTGCATCACGAAGTACATCTACCTTGGAAAGGCAAGATCGGGCGATGTCTGAGTCGGACGTTTCGAGGGCACATCGGACCAAAAGTGTCGCGGTTGACGTGAGGTGGTAAGCGCTATCTGCATCAAAGTATAAGTATACTTTTTCTTACGAGTCATGATCCCCTTAGAATGACTTACAAGGCAGCCAGAATTCGTCAAAATTAGATCTTTTCAACGAGATCATGAATTCCACCACATCTTCGGCTGCTCTCCTACATTCGGTCTGGAAATACTGCCGCCCTTCAGGATTGGTTGGGTTATCCGAATTATTGATTTCCTACAAGTGAACGTTAGGTACTCATGAAAAAAGTCTTTTAAATTACGAGACATTAACGGCGATATTACCTGTAATTCAACACGGCAAATGAGCATTTTCAAAGTTAACCACGCGAGATATAAGCTGCTTGATCCCGAAACAGGAGTTGGAGAATCTGCAGGGGAGCTCTTCAGCCATTCTGGAAGTGAATCTTCCCACGAATCTAAATTTGTCCGCAATTTTCGAAGCGTTTTAGAAGTCTCGTTTTGTGATTTTGGTTGCAATCCATATATCAGCGGGAGTAGATCGCCTAGAGTCTCGGTGAGCTGACACAACGCAATGTAACACTCCGCTGATTTTATCCTCTGCTGACTAGGGCTTCCTTGCGGGATTAGGACTTGAACCGTAGGAAGTGGTACATCGTATTGGTTTTTATTGATTTGTGGAGGAACACCATGGCCGTGGCTCGCCCTGTACTTTCTTTCAGTCCATAAAACGTAGTTAAGCTAGTGAGAATAGACAACAAGATAAACGTACCACCGGTCATGGATGAGTACACCCCACCACAAGCGAATACGCTGATGTTTTTCAGCCCGTGACAATTTCCAACAACTCGGGTCACGATTGAGGCCAAGGGAATGAGAAAGAGCCACTGTGCGACCGCTATTAATTGCATTACCGGTCATGGAGAAAATTGGTCTGCCTGTTAGGTCTATCAAAGAAGCGCTTAAAGTTGATAACCCTGGAGCAGAAAACTCCTCGTGTAATGCAGCTACTGCAAGATTAACCGCGTATCGAATGTCTGGTTTGGGATGTGGCGCCAAAACACGAGACTGGTCCCAGTAGATGAGAGACTGGGCATATACTTGGCACATCAGAGCTGGTGGGAGGCTTCCATTGTCCGTTCTATTGGATTCCAGGAAGGAAGTTTCATCGAATATGAGGAATGAAGAGTTTATTCTGTCCAGAAAGCTAATTGTTCGTACGAAATTAGAGAAATCCGAATTGGCACACAAGATTGGGAAGTTCTCGCATACATTTTTACCAGATCGTGCTTAAATGGGCCAAGAATCTGCTCGAGAATTTCTTTCTGGCTCTCACCGGGGATTCCAGTTGTCCGTAGGCCTTGTCTGCGTCTTGACACCGTAGTGTAAAGAATTGGTTTCTTAGGATCGTTGGAGTATACATTGTATGGAGCCTTAGCATCCGATCGCTTTTTCGAGCTCTCTGATGGCATGAACCTCTCAATAACCTGAGCATCCTCAGCAGCAACTGGCCCAACAATATGGACCGATTCTCCAAATGGTTCTCCAAAGGCGCGTGGAGAACTGTGATCAGCTTGGCTGTCACTTCGCGGAGCGGACCTTCTATTTGGGCTAGGCGTCTCATCAGCCAATGTTGGAACCCCTGAGAGGCCTGGGGATTGATGGGTCCGAAGTCGTTTCTGTGGAGTCTGCGAACCGCTGAGAGGTGTTCCACTATCCCCAGCATTCGGGTCATAAAACCGAGTTCCAACAGGCTTTATCGGACCTTCACGGTAGTGACAATCCGCCCCTTGAACGCGGCAAAGAAGGCATGACTCGCCTGGCAGATCCACAGTGCATCGAGATTTCCTTTTGCGGCATAAATCACAGGCACGAATTTTGTGAGACCTGTAAGGACGAGCGCCAGTAGAGATAGGAGCCGAATGATAATCTTTTGAGGCCCCTTTCGGGGGAGGGCTGGTGGTTACGGACATGTTATCCACACCTTCATCTGGGCATCAATGAGGCATCAAAAAGAGGCGACGAATATTCAAGGATTATTGGCAAATAATAGCATCTTCCATCAATGCAGCGAACCTAAGTACATTCAAATGGAACAAATACGTAAAAAGCATGACATTGATAGTAGCGGGTTGAACAATTGCAGCATATCACCGTCTTGTAAATCATTCCACTCCGGCAATCCATCGGCTAAGGGTGAGCGGAATTTATCACGTGGTTATACTAGCCGACCCTTCCGCATTCCGTATTTTCTTGGGGTAAAAAAGGGGCTCTTGGCTAAATAACTAGCGACCAAGGTTCATAGGTAACCAACAATTAAGCATGATTACGAAGATGAGTTATACTACCGTTCAGCCTGAAAGGTTCAGAGTTGAGAGATTACAAGAAAAACTCAGTAGATTTCACACAACCCCTTCAAATCCTTGTAAGAAGAGTACACGGACTTTCCCAAAAGAGGATATTTACGTTGTCTTAGACAATGCCTCAGTTCTAGACTCATGATGTGTTAGCTATTTGTGGTCGTTCATGATGCTGCATCAGAAATGGATTGGATATTAACTCCTGTGCTGAAGCGCGTTCTTCGGGAAGCCACCTGAATATTTTGCTAAGAAAATCCAACAACAGCCAGTGATCGTCACCTTCTAGACGCCACTCTTTCGTGTCAAATGACTGATCGGGAATGGGCGTTGTCGCATTCCACCGTCCTAGAATAATTTCAGCTTTATAATCTCTTCCGGGGGATGAGCAGGTGATATGGCAAGATACTCTCCTTCTACATCCCAGTAATTACGGCATTTCTCACTCCTTTGAAGGAAGCTCTGGGGTGGAGGTCCCATGAGAGCAACCATTTCAGCAAGATGTTGCTCATCATCCAGAATGCGGTTTCTGAGGGCGTAAAAAAGGCGACCGCCTTCAAATAAATCCCATATCTGCCATATCGTGAGTAGATACGCGCTCCTAGCGCTTTGGTATGCAAAGATCTCGAGCATGTTCTGCGGGCGTTCTGCGGGTAATGATTTAGTTCTGCAGGTGACTCACCATGACTCCAATTGACCAGATGTCAATCTTGCAGTCCCATTCCATCCCAAGAATCACCTCTGGTGCACGATAGAAGTCAGGCATGACATCGCCTCGATGTTTCCCTTCGCCAATCCAGGCAGCTCCAAAGTCACAAAGCACTGGTGTGCCATCGGTTATGAGCATATATTGGGATTGATAGATGACCCGGTCCCTGAAGACTTTGCGGGCGCTAGGATGTTCTAACTCAGACTGCTCGATTTTAGAAAAAATAGAGGAGCTCTGGGCACCCAGGAGGATATTATTAGGCGATATATCTAAAAGAGATTAAGAATGTCAGCGGAGGAATATGCATACGCACATCGTAGTGAAGAAGCCTGTTCTAGATAAAACACAGAATCATACCTGTATGTACCACACCTAGTTGGTGTAGAAGATCGAGCCCAATCAAGATTAACTGATATGTCTGCTGAAGGAGTGCCTTATTCAGCAACCGGTTTGGCAGTAAATTGCGGAACTCCTTAAAAGTCATTCCCTGAGGTGTATACAGTAGGCATCTGTGTTCACCCCCAGGCCCGTGGATGGTGAACTCTCTGAGTATCAGGCGGAGGTATCTGTCACCAGGATGTTCATAATCGCTGGCTCGAATATGTCTCGTCACAGCCGCTTCGTTGGTAGACTGGGCAGTTACACCAGCCACCTTTCTGCAGGTGCAGACTTTCAGAGTTAGGTAGTCACCGGACCTAAAACGCATCAGGTACTTGAACTCAAAGGGCTGCCTGGATGTTGTGATCGCTTCATTTCTCACTCTAAGTCTCGGCAGAGCCATACACTCGAACCCACTCCAAACCCGAGCTTCGCAATGACTTGATATCTGGACTCGAATACATCTCCCAGCCTGACTGGATAGAATGGGATTGTAACCTGGGAGCTCTTCTTCCAGTTTCATATCATGGAGGAGAAGTCGGTGAGGATTCTGGGATGCAGTCGAGCAGTTTCGAACGAGAAACGAGCTCCTCATCATCATCGCAGGCGCATAGTAGCGATCTGAGATAGAAGTGCGACGAGTAGCATGGAAATGATATGGTATCCGACCATAGAATACGAACGGTCGTGATACCAACCAGGGAGAGATGCAAACAACCATGGTGAGAACCTCTGTTATTGTTCGAGTCGTGCCGGCTTCGATCCTTGCAATGACGTGAAAGTATTCAATTGATATATGAGAGATTATTCACAATCATTTATCTCTATAGGGGGGGGGGGGATTTTTAGACTACTTAGACAAGATCTTACCCCGAACTATGTAACTAGAATCCACCCATCTGTTGTTTTTCGAGAAAGAGTTGAACCAAACTCAGGATAAACAATCCGAGCCTTGCCACTCATTCAGGGCAGTTTGGAAATAATCGGGTTGGTTTAACACCAAGGCTCCAGATGTTATTGTGTGAAGATCGCGTGTACTCCGAGCTATGTTATGTATATGTATGTTATGTACTCCGCGTATGGAATCTTACCTTACAACGGGACCTGACCATCTGGAACTAAAAGTAGGGGAGAAGTTGATAGACCGGCAAAAAAACCCTAGAATCAAATTAAAATGATTTAAAAGAACAACGCAATCCTGCAGGAAGCAGACGGAGAACCTGGCTGCTTACTGAGCTAACTAGTTATTTAACTACTTGGCCCACCGTGGTCGCATCCGCTGCTGACATTTAACTATTGGCCACCAGAGCGCTAGCCTGGCGACCGCAAATCTGGGCGCCAGATGAAGGGATATGGACCAACGAGGATACGATTGGCGTGGGTGTGTGACTAGCATTGGAGCAGTGATAAGTTGCTATTTTAGGATCCAGAACACAAAGCTCGTCTCAATTTCCTGCCGGCGGTCGCATCTGCAATGGCCAACTTTTCATCGGTTCTTCAGGATTAGAGAGGTCGATCGCGGCGAATCCCATCACGGCACTTCTGCCAGCAAGGGCATGGTTATAGGTCCTATTTCCTGCAGATATTGTGAAGGTTACAGAAACTGCTTGCAATTTATCTCCCAGTTCCAACACAGCCCCAAGACAGGGCCCAACTCAAGTTCGGCCTTCTTGTTAGTTGCGGGCTCGGATGTACGCACACGAAACAAAGACGAGACAAATGACATTCCCAACTACCAACATCGCCATGACATGTGCGGCCCTACCAGATACTTTGAGCCCTACCATTGATGATGTGTAGTTGCAAGGAATTCTCGCCACGGCCATGGAAGACGGTGATTCTAATTCACCCTGGAATCGTATCGAGAATCCCGCCAGTGTTGAACCAGATATGACCCTCGATGCGGTTGCAAGTCCATTGACGCCCTCCCCTGCTGATGACAGACCTCCCTCCTGGAGGCCTTCAACAAGCGAAACGCGACAGCCGAACGATGGAGGTTCAAAAAATCCTCAATCCCAGGGCTGTGATTTACTAGGTTCTCTTCCACATCAAATAATTGAGAGGTAAGTTAAGTCTTAAGATCTTCCTCTTCCTGCGCCACGAATATGCAGGCTATCTATTTTTATTATTTTTTATTATTTCCTTCCCAATACGGAAGGTAATATGAAAAGAAGAAATAATTCCGATATCTGTTGAATGGGGCTCACATTTCTTGTTTAGGATTTTGTATACTGTTGACGCAAACGCTTTCGCGTCTCTCGCTCTGTTAAATAGGAAATGGCGGACAGTGTCTGATCTTCCTGAGCTGTATCGCTATCATCTAGATTGTTGTACATCCACTGTTTTGCGAAACAATGACAGCGTGCAGCGCCCTTGGATATTAGAAGATCTCTGGCAGTTGAAGAGGAGGTTTGCCCGCGAAACTAGGAGAAATTTGTTCGAATCATTTCTCAGACCCCAAAAAACCCTGATCAATCTCATTTCGGCTTCAGCATGTTCATCATCCGCGTTTCCCCAAGGAGAAGCTTTTCAGTTTACTTTCTCGGCAAATGGGCGGCAATTACTGGCGTTAAGTTCGTCTAGAATTTTCGTGATTGACTTATCCACAGACCCAATATCTGTTTCTTACGAATTAAAGACTCTGCGACGGCCTGTCACGGCTGCAATAGTCGAAGACGCAAGCCTATTGGCGGTGGTTTCCTCTATTCACCAAGCGAATGTTTATCGCCTCATTAATGGGAATGTAAAGCTAATCCAGGCCATTACGTTGGACAATGTTCCCCGGACAATCTCCTTATCTCCCGAAGGGACAGTTTTAGCTATTGCTTATGATGGCGGTATCGAGGTGCATGCTTTGGGGGAGAGGGCACTGGCAACTGATCGCAGGGCTGTGCGATGTTTTCATACCGATATGTTATCGTTCTCACGGGATGGTTTGATGCTAGTTGGCTCGTCAAATGATCCTCTCGAGGCCAGAATGGTATCCATCTCACCACCTCTTTATATGGACCTAGATTCAGAACTGCCTTCGCCAGAGCTGCAGTCCCGAATGTGGACAACTCAGATATTATCTCCGGACATCACGATTGGTTACAATAACGTCACGCTGATTCCGTCGACAGTTGCTGATGAAGGCGTTACTTGGATTGTTGGATATGACACCCAGTTGCAAGTTTTTCGCCTTGGCCAAATCGATGATGCGCGGGGTGGGTTTACGTACTTCGTAGGACCTGGTGGAGACGGTGAGATAAAAGAACCCGGCCCATGCTTTGCCCCTACGGCAGGCTGTAATGGGGAGCTATTGGTATTGGGTTTCCAAGATTCCGGGATGTGGCTATACGGCATTCCAGATGTTTCGGATCGACCGTCAGCACAAAATGTCGTCCTAGAAAGAAATTGGGGTTCACGGCCAGTTCGTACAAATTCACAGAGGCTCAACAAGGTGGTAAAACCGCCCAGTCACTTGATCCATGGGCGGTCCCTATCATCCATGAATGATATCACGGCAATAAAATGGGTAGACGGCGTCAACCTAGGAAACCCTAGAGAGAAACGTTTCCAGCGGCTCGTGGCAGCAGCTCCTGGGGGTGTTAACTCTTTCCTGGGAGAAATGGGCGATGATCTTCTGCCAGTAGATGGTGGCAGGATTGCCATTTTTGATTTTGCGCGTTCACCGACTAATGGAAAGGCAGTTGAGTTGACAATTGAAGTGGGCGAGGCAGAGCCCATACCATTACCGGAACGGGATTCAAGCATGGCTGTCGAGGTTGAGCTAGAGAGAAGGAGGACGCGGGTTAATAGACGTGGCGGACTGGGGCGAGATCGTAATGCTGTCATTGAGCGCTCTGGTACGCTCGCTAGGCATCGTGCGAGTATTGGAAGTTCGCATATTGAAACTCCACCGGTCCCAACCAGGGGGAATCGAAATAGTTTATCGCAGCCTAGTTCCCCCACAGATCTCACCCTATCTGTTGACCTCCAGGCTATCGAGGTTCCGTATTCAAACACCCAGCCACGGTCCCAAAGCCTTCTTAATGGAGCCGCTACCGCTGCAGCCAACAGGAATCGCTTCCAAAATGCTCGCTACGCAAATTCAGTCTTAGTAAACCGGCGACCAGTGGTACCACACGAAAGTGATGCCGATAACTGGGTTCCTCCACCACCGCCTTATACCCCCGACGCAGATCAGCCTCTCCCGGATCATATTCAAAGAACGTTGCTACCCTCGCCGACCAACCCCGCCCCACGGATGCGTAATGGAAATGCTTCCCGCGACCTCCGACGGACACAAACATCCCGATTTGGCTCTATCTCACAGAACGCTATGGAACGAACGAGGTCAACCATGGAGCGTATTCCTGTTCCTAGGACGAGGGCAGGACAATCCCCGGATACCCTGCGCCAAGGTAATCCACTCGGAAGGAATAATACCTCTCCATACCCTCCTAGTCATGCAAGAGCAGCTACCGATGGCGTACCCGGGACGATGACTCCAACCGAGATTCAGTCTAGTGAACGCCGTCCGATAGTGCCACCCGTGCTGAATCATAGAGGTGGCTCTGCGCCAACTAACCTTTCCCTTCCGTCTCAACCGCTTGTCGTAAATACACAAATTTCACCGTCCTCGACAGAGCTGCCCCGGCCTAGGTTCCCCCACGGCTCATCTGCGGAAAATTCGTCCCCAATTTCACCTATGGTTTCTGGGTCTTCTTTAGGAGCTACCCATATGCCAGTCCGAGTGATTGGTAGAAACGGCCCTACCAATCAATTTGACTTACAAGCCAATTCAGCATCTCCATCTGCCACTTCTGATACACACCAACACGGACGCACGGGAATCAGACGATTGTCCGCTACTGAGGATACTATAGACGGGTCCCAACCAACGGCAAGGAATTTCAATGCTAGTTCTTCCCAACGTGGACAGTCAACTCATTTGAGATCATCGCAATTGGATTCAATAAGCACACACCCCATTCCCCGCCATACCATTCCTCCCAACAATTCACCTGTTATTACAAAACCCCAAGCTCTATCTTCCCCCCACCTTCAGTCTCATGAACCACCTCGCCGTATGGAGACCCTCTACACCGTCCGTTCAAACCAAGAGACTCACCGATCTAGACCAAGATCCCAAGACATACCCCGCCGCAGGTTCGGAACGGGTGGCGCCTTTTTCGACCCCCGCTCAGGGCGAATGATTTCAAGTTCTCATTCTGATGCAGAGGTAGGACAGCGCCGGATGGCTGAAGAGTTGAGAGGTGGAATGACCGAATGGAGCGATGCTGATGGGGAGAGGAGAAAGAGAAGGGAGGGTAGGTGTTCAATTCTGTGAGAAGCACACTGTATTGGAGGGCATTGAGAGCTCCGAGAACGACTGACCGGATTCCGGGTTTATTTTTCTTGTTCCCTGTTTCTCCTCCGGGCATTCAATCTCCTGATTCTGTTCTGCTTTCTATACGTCCGCGAGTGGCTGTGTCTTTTTTCTTCTTTTTTTTTTTTTTTTCTCTCTATTATCAAGGCGTTGACATACCCTACCCGGCAGGATTTTGTGACACTGTTTAGCACTCTTTTCGTGCTTTGCTCTACGACGTTCATTCGCGATGCCTTTGGTTTCGTTACTCCCCTCGTAACCTTTTCCATTACATGCCTGAAATTGACCCGCCCCGCGACAAACAAACACACCCACCATACAAGCCTTTCTCCTCCTGCTCCCCTCCCCTTGTCCCTTCCACTTTTTCTCTCCATTTATACATAGGTCTTTTTATTTTTCAATTTAAGTGTTTTTATCTCTTTTTAATCATTTGTATATACCCCACACATCTGGAAGAGAAGGGAATCTCTGGATATCTTTCTGGGCGCTCGATGAGCGTTAGGGACAATGTCAGCGTGCCAACTCGTTTAATGTGTATGGAGATCGACAAGCTGTATTGAGAGATGTAGTTATTTCTACTGAGTAGAATACAATGTCGTCTCTCGAGCATCTCTCTTTCAACTGCTCTTTTTTTTTTTTTTTTTTTTTTTTTTTTTTTTTTTTTTTTTAATTGTTATCGTTAAACAGAGTATTCGATTTCTATCAAAAATCGTGCCGGTAACTTAAAATATCAACTCTTCTAGTTCGGGGTCACGGCATTAATCTAGTTTGCGCCTTCGTTGAAGGATGAGAAAATAGTTTCTCATTCCCCGGTCAAGTTACATCTCTACAGGCACTTTTCCCTGACATCCGTTGCCCCTCAATGCCCTATTTAAGTCCCCCTGAGCTGAAGCTTTTCGTGAACACTGCGAAATATTTTTCCCCTCGACTCCGCCCCCCACAAAACACGAGGCCATTTATGGATTGATTGATGGACCGAGAGACATGCAGTCAAGCTACCGCGAGCGCGCGATGGTGTGGCTTGGCTGTCCTTTATGTAGAGTTTGTGGCTGGCTGTGAGGTTCACGTTCTCTTTCCTCTTATTAGGCTCTCCGCATCAAGCCATGCAACAGGTCCAGGACATGGTAAACAGACAAACATACTCATAACGGTACACTGAATATGATTATAAGCAGGTTCGAGTTCTTCGACGTAAATGTCATCCCACGAGATGTTATGGCTTCCAACTCGGTCAAATCTCATCAAAATCAGGAGCTTTCTTCAACAAAAGCTCGCCAAACGAAAATCAAAACATCACCTTTTCCCAAAAACGCCATTCTATCTAAATATTATCTTGACTACTCCGTACTCCGTATTTTGGCTCCATCGAGAAAGCCAGTCGACGAACGCTTATTACAGCTGTGGCGCACCTCCGACAGCAAGGCGAAGCAGTTTTGATCAACTGACTCCTTTAGTCAATGTGCTTTCAGAATGAATACATGTTAATCCCCTTCTACCACAATGACCGTTAGAGTCTATCAGAATCCGTCTCCATGACCTTTTTATTCCCTCTTGTTGACTCTATTTATGAAAAAGGCAGGTGAGAAATGACAGATGTGTATCAACTATCAAACACTTAACAAGCTTATGATTAAGATTCTAGTATAGCACAGGCTGAACTGCATTGAAGAGTTGAGTGGATAAATTCAGAGCCACCTTCGCCCAAGATATCTCGTCCATCCGCCCATGTATTTTATACATGCATGACTATGTGACGCAAAATCATAAGTTACAGCCTTGGGGTCATTAACTGTTCGTTTGTTCAGGAACCTTCTGTTGTTTTAGGGGCTAAATCCCGAAAGACGACCTAACCCCTCACCACCATCAAACGCAAGGTGCAAAATAACGGCTGGGCTTTACTGTTCTTCTTCTCGCCATGAGTGCAGCTCAACCAAATACCAACGAGAAACCCCCGTCCACTCTTAACTTACCTCCATCGAATGACCCTCCGCCATCGTATTTGCCAGATGATCCCAATGCGAGCAGTACGGCTCCATTAGCGTCACTTCGAGAGCTTCATTTTGAGCCACTAGGCCTACAAGGGTCTGTCAATCCTGCCATCGCTGGGCCGGTTACCACGGATCAATGTATTGCGCATTTAAAACTTTTGGCCGCTCTAGCGGATCTTCGTGACACTATTTCGACAACTGACGGCCTGTTTAATCTCTACGACGCAGAGTATGGAAAATACCAGACCGAGGAATACAGGCTCAAAGGTGCTCAATTGATTAGAGAAAAACGATGGGCAGTATATGTCGGTAGAGCAGTGGACAGGTTCTCCCTCTGGCACGAAAAGTGCATTAGGACTGATGGCTTTGGTTCTAGTAATGGGGCTCTTACCACTTACGATATGAAGCGTCCTGGTAGACATGCGGCTTCAACGGCCTGGCAAGACACGATTGCTTGGACTGTTGATATTATGCCTCCTTTAGGTTAGATTCCCTGGCTTCGGATGATTTATGCCCGTTTGCAAATAGCTAATTATTATTTATGCGCAGATGTTTTGATGGTATGGCATGCATACATGCTGAATCCTCGAGATTTTCTAGAAGACTGCATTCGCCTAGGCAAAATGAGCTTCTGGAGGACGGGTTTACCATGGGCAATTGTGAATTCCAGCATCGACCATAGAACATTTGAGTACACCCCTCCATCCGAAGCAGCAGCAAATTTCAGCATGCAAACGGGCCTTCAGTGGGACAGCAATCATGATAGCCCGTGTAAGTCTTTAAACTGCCCACAGTGTGAAGCTCATGTAATTGTTCCATGGCAACAAGAAAACCCACAGATCGGATCAATAGATCATCCCTTTGAATACTGCGACGGTTTTGGAGACGAAAACTTCAAAGCCGTTTGCAATAATTGTGGGGTTACTATCACGCACGAAAAGCTTCGCGTTGCGAAGTTTCGTCGTGACGTACAACGTCTTGTTACGGGATGTTTTCCGATGCCCGGGACCATTTTGGACACGACTGGGGTCCCAGAGGACAGAGATGAGGATCACCGCGGGCCTTCTTTCCCCAACAATCTCATCAGGCTAGTAATTCGTGGGCCGCTACGCAATCTAGTTGACCTCGCCCAGAACCCCTCTGCATCAATGTCTATGGTACGCGATTTCCTAGGTGAGACCCTCGCGGATGAAGAAAAGGTCCAGAAAGCACTTCATGGTGCAGCGTCCAAACCCGATACTGAAGAACGCATCGCCATCCGAAAAATGATGTCTCGATACTGGGATAACTCGTCGCCTTTCGCACTTGACCTCGTCGGAGCAGTTATCCGCCAGGGAACATTCACACAAAAGATGGACAACATTGACTGGATACACTCGCCCGCACTCGAGTCAACCATGAACCGCCTCATCACGAAATATATATATTTCTTCCGAATTATATCGGAGAACCGCACAGAAATGGCCGTCCCTACGCTTGACGTTGACCTCGCCTAACACACCCACCAACTCTCGCCGTATAAGTATTTCACATATTCCACCCGCCATGCCGGTGGATGGTTCATCAACCACGACGATAAGGTCTCCGAGACCAAACTCACCACGGCATTCCAATGGACATCAAAGCAATACCAGCGGATCACAGGGGGCCAGGTATATAGTGAATGTACGTGCTGGTACTGCGAAGCCATCAGAGAATCCCACAACGGCGGCTTCTTCAAATCCTCTTCGACCTCCCAAGCTCAAAAGCGAGGCGACCAACTGCACATGCGTAAGGATATTAATCGAGACCCGCTCAAAAGCCCTCATATATCCACTCATAACGCTGTGCATCCTGTAGATAATCCCCTCGAGCGCCCGGACGGGCGCGAGCTAGCGGCTTTAAAGCTTCAGTGGAAATATGAAAAGGCCATGCGACGGATACGGAGACGGAGCACGAAATCCGTCCTGACACGAGGTGGTAGTGGCGACTCTGGGGCGAAGCGCCTCTCGATTATACCATCAAGCACAGACAAAGCCGGGGAAAGCCCGTATGCAGCGACTGCCATCGTATGGGGTTTGCCATTGGCAATGGCACTTTACATTCCCTTCGCGGTCGATCCGGGTATCAATACACACTTATATCCGTGTAGTCCGGCATGCATGAGCATGGGAATTGGCGCTCCAGGTAATTGTGTTGCGTCCACATGCACCGCTGAGGTTGCGGCAGGGGGATGTGGGTGGGATGCTGATGGCGGCGGGGCTTGCGGTGATGGCGGCGGTGGTTGTGGTGGTTGCGGTGGTGAATAATAAATCTACTGGCAGCGGTGTTTTGACCCCGATTTACTTGGTTTAGTTAACCTGCTGGTATAGATGCCTAGGTATTAACCAGATGTTCGTTTTGAGGGGAGTTTTCATTACACCTTGCTGATATTTCTACTCCTTTCTTTGATTCCAGTGTCCTTTAGTTTCATTAGCATTTGGCATTTTATGTGTATTTGTTCGTCGCACCACTGGTACGATGCTCTACGAATCTGAATTCTGCATATCTATGATACCCCATTATCGCCTAGGTGAATCTAATCATCCCCGCCCCTCGTAACTCTACGGTGTGGTGTATGCACATGAATGAACCATATAATTCATATCGAAATCTGGCCGTTGTAAAAAATGCTTTGTGAAATGAAAATGATAGAAAGTGGGAGTAGACTGGGAAACAATAAAAGGTATTGAAAAGTGGGAATAAGGGCATATCAAGAAAAGAATACGAACGATCTACAGCATGAACTGGTATATAAAGGTCAAAAATGGGTTGTGAATTGAACTGATCCATGGTATAACTTCATTGCAGTACCACAGAGTTAAGGACCCAAAGAAGCTAGCATACGTAAAAAATTTGCGCCTTCCCTATGGCTTTCTTCTGTGAATATCCAACTCACTAGAAGGAGAAAAAAAAAGGACAAGAAAAGATATGTGATACTGTAATCGAAACAAGAATGGGAATAAAAGTGTGAAAAATATACAGTAAAGACACGTAAACGGAGAAGAGTTCTATTTCTAGCAAGAAACAGAAGGGGTAGTAGTATATAACCGTTAATCTTGTGACGAATAAGAAGAAAGGGAAAAGAAAAGGAAGGAAAAGAAGAGAAGAGAATCAGAAATAGGCGATTAGGCAATGCCCTGCGATTCCAAGCCCTGAACCTGATTGAACGAGTACGGGAAGTCCACCAACCCATCCAGCATCCAATTGAGGGGATCAAATACTTCGTAATTCGGCTCCATGAAGCCTCCTAGGATCCCCATCCCGTTACCGGGACCTGCTGTGCTGAGGCTTCCTTCTCCGCCGATGTTGGTTGAGTGAGAGGGGGGTGCGGATGCAAGGTTGGAATCTGCCCCGGGAATACCAGGGGTTGAACTTGAGGCGCGCAACGGGGCAACGGATGAGGCAGAAGAGTCAGCATTGGAGTCTGGGTTGGTTGGGTTTTTGAGGAAGGCTGGTTTACGATTGTTAGAATCACGGGGAAACCTTGGATATGGGAAGGGGCATCGGTATATTAGTAGAAAGAGGGAAACATACATTCCAGATTCCTTCCTTTAGCTTGAAAATCTTCTCTCCATCGCCAAACAGAATCGTAGACAAGAGACATACTCATACGGCATCTGACTTTCAGCTGCAGGGTATCGTCCATATCTGGGCGGACCGATGAGCTGCCGACATATGGGGAGACAGGTGCACCTCCCGTCCTCCACATTTGTGCCAAAACCTCTGCCAACCGTTCAGGGAGATCATTGTTCGTGACGGACATACTTCGTATAGCCCAGATAGTCCTGTTGAAAAGGGTTTTTGTATAATCCATGTCAATGTGGACTGCGAAGAAGCTTTTGCACAGCTTCAGAAGAATGAAGCCAGCGGCCAGGGTCATCTGATATATATAATTTGGGCTGTATGCAAGAACAGGCCCATCGGACGTTTCGAGATTTAGAGCCTCGTCGAGAAAGAGTGTGGTTGCAAGGTAGAGTGCTAGGAGGCCCTGGCGGTAGTCTTTGGCTGTCGGGTTATCAAAGAAAGCAGAAAGGCGGAGGTGAAGGCCGGCTGCCCGAAGGTAGAGGTTTGTTATAGCTAAAAGATAATTTATTAGTTTATATAAGGGAGGGGAGAGGGGAACAAGAGAAAGTAAATCACACACAATTATGTTCCTGTCTGAGCTGGCCTTCGAGCTCCTCGAAGTCCTTGGCTAGAATTGTGGTTACAATGAACCTTTCATCATCGCTTGATAACCCTACAGGATCTCGAGGATTGCTGTATAGGCCTCTGGTTACTTTATCGCAGAACTTTTCAATATCCAGTCGGCACTTTATTTCCGGCGGGAGCTTAAAATTCTGGTCAACGGATTCTGGTGATGATAGCGTCCAGTCAAGCAGTGTTTGCGACGGTTGTCCATAACCGGTTGCCACTCTAGTAAGAGGGTTAGCATTTACTTAAAAATATGATAGGTATGAGGCATCCATACCTTTGAGCAACGATATTGCAAACACCCCAAGTCTTAACCCTATCTTTCAACTCCCCTTCTCTAAACTCGATCCTGAATTTAGAAAAGTCTTGCGCATGAGACGGTCGATGGAGGCCAATTTGCATAGCTATCTGCATCATCATACCGCAAAGCATGAAAGTTGGGTCTGTCGATGTGCTACTAGTGGGAAATGGCCAAGTGCATAATAGCGCTAATGCTTTTACGACATGGTAGCTTTGAGGAACATCTGCCAATGTACTCCAGACCAATCTTGACACTGGCCCAGACAAAGCGTTCAGGAGAATACGGTCGCCTTGATATCGACGCGAACCCACGCTAATTATAGTCCAGAATAGGAGAGGCGAGGTGGAAAAGTACTCCTCAGGTGGTTTAACTCTATCTAGAAATGGGAGGAAGGGGTGATAGAACGTGAAAAATCTAGTCCTTATTTAGCATAACGGTGATGTGATTCGGTCGATAAGTTCAATCGAAAGAATACTAACTGGCTAAATAATTCTGTAACACGTTCTGGTGCAACCGACACATCTTCCAGGCGTTTGGTCATTACAATCTGGCCACTAGGGCTTCTGAGAAAACTAGACGAATCCAGCCCTGATCGAAGATCAAGCAGCGATGCAACGGCTTCATGTGGTCCCATACCTGTAAGGCCCGGCGACGGCTGATACATGTTGCGCTGAGACGAACTAAACGTAGTAGAAATGGATGAGTCTTGTTTGGTGGATGCAGACGACTGGGGTTGCTGGTGCTGTTGTTGCGCATTGGCCGCGGCATTGGCATTCGCAATTTGCCTTCTCAGCTCAATTATTTCACGTTCCATCTCTGCATTCCGACTGCGCTTGCCGATACGTTTGAAATTCGACTCGATCTTGCATTCCAATTTGAGACGACGGCAACGCGAGCACGTAGTAAAAGGTTCTTGTATAACGTCGCATCGGAGCTCCAATACAAATGTTAGCAGATTGCATGACTCATAAACAGCCTGCTCATTCTAAATGGAAGTATCCTGGTTACTACGACCACATAGAAAAGAAAGAAAAAACAAAAACAAAACCCAAAGAAAAAAAACCTGAGTTCTCAATTGAGCATCCCACCTTTTGTTGGCGACACTCATTGCAGGCGCGCTTCACTGGCTGCTTCTTCCGGTCATCCTGGGTATTGTTGGCATTATTCTCCGCCTCTTTTGTATCGTCTATGCTCCCTGGCGAGCTATCCAGCCCTGCGGTATGCACATTCCGTCTCCGGTTTCCACCACCAAAAGTTGACACTGAAGCAGGAGAAGGACCAGCAGCGAACGAACTAGTGGTATTCCCCCTGATAGGGCTGACATGGCGGCTGTGACCTTGCTGCTGCTGCTCTGCTGGCCCAACTCCTGCTGCTCCGGCTGGAGTCGCTATTCTTCCTGGAGCACTACCACCTCCGACACCGCTACCATTCCCAACGCCAACGCCAGCGACACTCCCACTGCCACTGGCACCGCGTGTATGGTCGTCGCTAAATGTCAGGGCAGCCACACTGGGAATTGTTTTCTCTCCGGGGAAAACCAGCACCCCGAACAAAGAAAGGTTGGGAGCGAGTGGGTTTACGGGCAAGAGCCGTGGTCGGCAGCGGCAGCGGCAGAGAGCCTCGCAGCGGCACCAGGGAATGCGGGGGCAGAGTAGTTACTCTTGGTTCTTTTCTCTTCCCACTTCACGCCGCGTCGGTGCGTCGTTGGACGCACTCGAAACGCTTACAGGTGGGTGTCACGGATTGTAAGGTCTTAGCTACTTAAGGCTTCGTGCTGCCCGGCTGGCGGGGTTCATTGAAGTTGATTGACTCGATCGTGTCCGATGTCGGTGAGATTGGTGGAGGTGGAGGATTCAGCCAACGAAGAACCACGTGGTTGATAAGGCTGGATCATGTGATCCAGACGACGGCTGGGTTGGACCGGGGGCCGAGGCTTGTTCGCGACATCAAGCGTGCCATAACTACCGATGAATATGGATGGCATGGCACCGCGAAGAAGAAAACAGGGGCAATAATACCGGCAAACATGACAACTCCATTCAAACACCGTACCTTACTTCCTCAACAGCCCGTCTCCAAACCAAGCAAATATTCCAAACCTTTAAACCCTTCTGCACGTCCGGCGGATCTTCAGCTAAAATCTACTATCATACCTACCGGCACTCGTCAGCGGCCTGAGGATAGGAGTGGAAGCAAGCAGAAGGGGGAGAAGGAAACACGGGAAGGTCGGAGAGATCAGGGAGATCAGGAGGGTCCGGAGGATGAAATGGAAGTGCCGGTGATCGAATTTGATTCTTCCAAGGCGCCGCAGCCATTTCTAGACGGGGATGAGGTATTGGAAAGAATGAAGGCATTGGGAAAGTGATGGGGGGGGAGACTGAGAAACAGAGAGGACCTCTGCGGTGGGGCTTCTAATTTGGCGTATTATTCCAAGAGGATACATATACCCTGGCGTGTGGGGGTGTATTTTTATGTGCAGCAGTTTTGGTTCCTATTTATCAAAGCAGCATCGCGGCAGCTTCCACATATATGATGAATTAATAATCAACAAACGTCCGTTGTATTGCAAAAGACATCCTATTCAGGAGGGTAAAGTGCTTAATATACATTCTTCGCAAAAAAAGGATACGTGGGGACAACATTCTCACGCTCAAAAACCAGCAAAGAGTAATGTATGAACCGCCAAAGAAGATTGGTATATAGGATGGCCAAAGGAGGAACAAAATCAGCGGAACAGCAGCATACGCAGATAAGGGAGGCATTGCAGAATACCAGGCGAGAGAAACAAGGTGGAAATGGCAACACAGGCTTGTCCGTCCAAGCGGAATATTAATATTTTTTTGGTCTTTTATTCTCCTCCTTTCGGGATATCTCGTCTCATATCCACGTAAGTTCGTTATCGTATGTATCTTTTGTTGCAGTTAAATATGTCGTCAATAATAATCGGAGGGCAAGATCACTTATAAATCGTTAAAGCTCCAGGGGGGGGTAAAAAGAGGGCCGAACTGAAGGGCCCACAGTACAAAAAAGGGAAAAGGAAAAAGTCTGCAGAAAGGGAAAGGAGATCATGGGAAATAAATATAAAGTAAATAGTAAAAGATATCAAAATCATTCAACGGGAAGGTGAAAAACTGCGCTAAATCGAATATCATCCATTCTCAAGCTTAGGACAAGGGAGGAGCAAGAGAAGTATTCATAAATCATTATATCATATCAACACATCGTGATGATACATGTCTCTCATGTAAAACTTTCATGTTCAGCATCACCCGCTAAAGGAGCAGTACAAAATGACAATGGGATGAAGAAGAAAAGAAGTTGATGAGATGTTAAAATAAGGGAAATTATGAAAACAGATGAAATATAGAAAATCGATATCAAACCCTTCAAAAATGGAAAATTTCCTGTTGCGTTACACATCGAGTATACACGAGGCCAGCCCCAAGGGAAAAAAGGCAGTTAATAGTAGTAATCCTCATCACATCGGATTTAACGACCATCCGGAACGATTGTAGTAGTGTTATTAGTGAGAACGCGCCCCCCGATGCTCTTTCTCAATTTATCTCTCCGCTCCTCAAGCTTATCTTGTTCCCTCTGGCGCCGGATATGGGTGATCCACTGTTGCAACTCGCGCAATGATTGTATGGGTCCTTGTAATACCATTCTTGGTAGCGCAAAATTGCGGTTGCGGCGAGCAGGGCGTACACGATGTGATGGGAAACCTGATTTGTAGTGCGATGGAAGTTCATGGTTGCCGTTCTTACGACGGGTAGTCCGATATCGAGTACGGTTGGACATCCTTCGAATAACTGATAGTGGGCCAGCGAATATGACACGCTTTTGCGGTATGCCTAACGAGTTGCTAACGTACAGATCATCGATGTCCCTGGAAGTGGGGGAATCGGACCTCAGGATACCCTCCCCTTCCACATCATCAGAGTCCGCAAGCCCTTCCCAAAACGGTCGAGGTAGCCAAAATGAATGTAATTTGCTGTCTATATTTTTGCTGGTTTTAGGGTTTCGTACATTTTGAGACAAGACCGGGGTTGTATGTGCCTCTGTTCGTCTCCGGGAACTCAAGGCACGGCGAACAGAGCCGAACCGACGTATTGCGCCATTGTTCTTGTCCGGATTGTGCTCATCTATAAGAGCAGGCTGGTCAATTTCATCCATAGGAGTTGGCGGAATAACCTTGACTGCTGGGGGTTTTGGCGGAGCGCGCGGGTTTCGAAGTGGAGAATCAACATCAGCTGCCGCAGCTTGCGTAGACATGTCTGGTGTCGTGAGTCGGGCAACTTTCATTTCCATAACACCTGGCGAAGTTCGCAGTTCCTGAACGGCTCGTGATTCGGTGGCCGGCTGTTGGTCTACAAGCAAAAGTGACGTATTATTGTGGAAGAAAAACGGGACAGCTCTAGCTTCGTGAATTTCCACTGGGCCAGGAGATAAGGACTGAATAGATGCTTGAAACGGTGTGAGAGGCAGAGATGGAGATATCATTGGTCCGTTTTCATCGCCTGGCTGTCCATTCGTACGTGGGGTTAAAGTTGTAAACTGTTTGACAGGTTCGGGGACAGGGGTTTTGGTAGATATCGGTTGCACGGGCGCTTGATTGCGGCGCTGAGGGAGAGCGGGCTGGACGGTGGGAGGTGGTGCATGATATTGCAAACTCTCCGAGGTAAGTGAAGGCGCCCTAGAGTTATTTCGGCTTGTGGGTGCGGATAACGAAGACTTTCTTTGAGGAACGGTTAGCCCAGACAAAGAGCTCCTACGGCCCACATCTTTTGAGGTCGTTGATGGTAAAGATGCGGATAATGTGCGTCTTGTCCGTCGAGATACGTCAAACGACCCGATGCCGCTGTCTGGAGCAGTGGTAGGTCGACGACTAGAGCCAAGAGAATGCGTTCGTGAATGGTCCCTGCTACTAGAGTGCGTAGATTTCAACGAGGATTGTCGTTGGGGAATTACCACAACGGGTACAACATCAGGCTTCGGCTTTGGTCTCGTCGAGGTTACGCTTGCAGCAAAAGACATATCCGATGACACACTCCATCGATTTTCATTGGTAATGCGGGCCGACTTTCTGAGTAGACGAGGATGAGAGTCCGTCAAAGACGACGTTGAATCTTCATAATATGACTTAGGCAGAGGCGAACTAACGGAACGAAGGGAGGAATTCTTTTCTGTATGCCGTAATGTCGGTAGCTTTCGTTGCGGAGGATCTATTACCATAGCTTCCACGGTTGATGTAGTCGATATCCCAGACAAACGCCAAGCATGGATGCGTTCGCTCATATCAAGCTGCTCCTCTCCCGTAACCCATGCTATACTCTCCGCAAACTTCTCAACGGAAGATGTCACGGGAATATTTTGTGTGTCTTTTACCCGCTTCTCCAAACTCTTTTCCCGGCTAGACGATGATTTAGATATAGGTTGCGAATCAGAAGGGCCGGCGTTGACTTGGGAAAATGGGTCGTGATCAGAGAGGATCGGTCGACGCCTGTGTTTCTTTTTTTGGAAGCCGGCAATAACGTTTTCATCTAGCTTAGTCCACTGGCCATCAAAAGAATCAAACGTGGCCGCATCTGTCTGGCTAACTGTCATTCCATCTGCAACAGGTCCACCACCCCTTGGTGGCCCTGCATTTCTCAAAAGCCCTCGCTCCGCCGATGTCGTATTTGTTCGCAGCGGATGAGGCAGCTTGTGTTTGGCTGGACGCAACGATGGGGCGGGCTGGACCGATGCAGCATTTCTCTTTTCCAATTCTTCCTCCGATGACAAAGTTTCTCGGGCAGTAGTGAACGACTCAGCCCTTGAGGACATGGACGGTTGTATTGGAGTAAGACCTTCTCTCTTTTTGAATTGCGAAACTGTTCGTGGAGGTGTAATATCGGGTGTCGGGGGGCTTAACTGGTGAGTTGGCGTATCAGTTCCTGTCGTGGCTGGGATAAGCTCGTGAGATACCTCGCGCGAGATACCATTGCTTGATTTCCTACATGGCTCTAATACCAGGCCAGGGGGTGTCAAGGGAAGAGCTGGCGCGGTAGGATGGGTGTACCCGTTTGAAGGAGGCGTGGCATCATAAGGTCTCGGACTCGACGACGTAAATGCCAAACCCTGTGTAGGCAATACATCGCGTTTTCGTGGTAGGGCTTTATGGGCTTTCAGACCCGGATGACTTGCCGGCGGCGTTGTCGGGCTTGTCTCCAGAATATTCACTGACGGCATATTGCCAGAGGTCGAGTTGGTCTGGGTGGGTTCGTGCTAAGGGACTGACTAGTCTTATAAAATAATGATAACGGTCCCCGGTTAAGGAAATTTGTTTTGCATAACTTTTGAAACCTCCTTATTCCTGGGGGAAAACTCATCCATAGCACTCGATGCCCATGGGTTTCTCACGTTATCCAAGGTAGCGGCCGCATAACGGAGAAGGAGTCCAGATACTTTTTCCAGCGCTGACACAAGCCCAGACCGAATTATTTCCCACAAAGCTGGTTCGCTGATCGTGGCGGGAAGTGAGGTGCGATATATAGGCGCTGTCCGCTGTCGCACTGGATTATTGGAAAACAATCGATCGATGGAACGGAGCCAACCTCTGTGTCTATAATCTGCTGGGTGGCGAGCTAAGCCTCGGTGCGAAGAATGTCAGGAACAGACAGACAGGGCTTTGCAGAGAAATTCTCTCTATCCGCTGTGGATGATGGGTTGATGATAGTTTGATTGCGATACGATACAGCGAATGGGAGGTAAATAACAAACACCGGGAGGCCAATATTCAATCCGGGCCACGACTTGGACAGTTTGTGCTTAAAATGGAGTCTGGAACAGGCGCTAAATAATTAAAATTCTACCCAAGTGAAAAATATGGTCACAAACACTTTTTTTTAAGGGTGGTTGGAAAAGGGTTTCCAGCAGTGTGATGAGGGCTGGTCGCAAAGGACAAATAGGAGGAGGATGGGAAGGATGGAAGACTCAAGAGGGGGGAAAGTCGACGACGACGAGCCAAAGATGACGATCCCTGTTGGAACAGAAGAAGCAAGAAAGAAATATCTCCTTAAACTACGGAGTACGCTGCTAACCACCAACAAATCAAGCCAGTCTTCATCCAGACCAGGGAAACCCGCTTCTACAGCTTTCGGACAAAGAAGGGGTGGTCTTTATTTATGTATTTAGGCCGAGATAGATCAGGCCAAGATCAAAGAAACTGCAAGCAACCACTGCAGCAGGTAGTTTATTTACATCGTACCTCATATATTTAAGTTACTCGGCTTTCTGCTCGTTGGTCCATTCAGTCTTGTCTTGTTCTCGAAGAAACCCCCTGAAACGGCCCCTCTCTAGATAGTTATTTAGGACGTTTCATCTTCGTTGCAAAAATATATACTCTGGCCAACCTCCCAGTAAGTTATCCAGTTAGCTACGGCTAGAACCCTGGCTCGAGTTAAAAAAAACTCAACCGAATATTTGGTATTTAACTACGGAGTACTTATATTAAAGATTATCATACTTAATACTTTTGCGTTACAAAAGACTGTGGATATTTCAACCAAGACTCGGGCTGCGTTTTTCAATAGGAAACTAGAGTATCCGATCTGCTGAATTAACCGCGGCATGGCACATTCCAAACGACAGATTGTTTATTTTTGTATACAGAAAATTAAAAAGGCTGCTGGCTGCGTCCTAGAATGCATATTTATACATATCATGTGGCAATACAATAAACTACCACCCACCTGCTCAATTCCCGGTTTTCCTTTGCTCGGATGCAAGCATGATATCAGGCTTGGGCTTACATACGTGCAGTCTCAACTCTCTAGCCCGCGGCGATAGTAATATCTAGTTATTTCTCTAATTTCTGTTGGCTTCTGACACGCTGGGTCGAAACTTGCATAACATCCTTGCCTTCTTTTTATCTGTGTGATTTTTGCTTTTAAACCCCGCAGGCCTCTGCTGCCTCCTCCCCCCCCGCGGTCGACTGCACTATACATAAGGAGTAGTAAGTTGATATGACAGCGAGTCAAGCCATGGGAGAGGGAATGTTGTTGGCCCTAAGCTCGATCTTTGACTCAAGAGTATGTAAGTATATCTCTTTCTCTCTTTCTTTCTTTCTTTCTTTTTTATTTTTATTTTTATTTTTATTTTTATTTTAGCAGCTAATGTTTCATAAACGAAGAGCAACACCGGTTGGGTTGGTTAAATAACTATTTTGCTCACAAGCTGTCAGCCAAGTGGCCTGATTCATGCTCTCTATCTATCTCAATCTCACCTCCTCCGTACTCCGTACATATTTGTCCTCTTTAGACCCTCATTCCCTTCCCATACCTGGCCATGCAAGCCAAGCTTTTGTCTCCAGCCTGTCATGATATCATGATACTTTCAAATCTAAGTGGAACGCCCGCGATGCTGCTGGTCCGTCAGCATGGGAGACTTGCTCCGACGGTGACTAGCAAGGAGTGCAAGAAATTTTAATAGTTCTTGAGATGTCTGATTGGTCTTGCAAGAAAACAGGCCGTCGACATTTACCTAGGTAAGGTACAGTGCTCCGGGAAATATGACAATCTCTCATGGAAGTTTGCAGCCAAATGCATCCACTCTATAAACCACCACTGGACAAATCACTGGAACTAGCCAGGAGAAGACCTATATGTAATTTATTTCCTTGGAAGGAACCAAAAGGCTAATTAACATTGTTAAAGGGTGCATGGAAGATGCCTGACTTTTTAGGATATACACAGTTTAACATCTGCAAATTCAATCAGGATATTTAACCGAAACCATATTGCTCACAGATGAATTTCTTTCTAGTGTACTCGGTGCTGTAAATTGTAAATTGGTATTACATTACATATAAGATTTCAAATAATTGGACTTCCCTACCCAGGCAACTCAGTGAACTCATCTCCTTGAGATCCAATCTCTCAGACAATAGTTATGGGTTCTGTTGGCGGGGTCTTGGCTTCGCGGTCAAAAAAAAAAAAAAAAAAAAAAAAAAAAAAGTCCATGGCTGTCAAGGGAATAACTAGAGGTTAGATAGATATTTAAGAAGCTTATCAGTGATTTTTTGCAAACGATGCGCGCCACTCCTTTAGCTACAGGAAGTCTTGCAGGACGGGTTCAACGTAACGTATGTAATCCCTTGGAGCCACCTGGTGACCGTGTGCTGTGTCTAACAAGTAAGTTACTTAGTATACTTGGTTGCTCTTGGAGAATTTACCCACAAGGCATCTACTCTGTACCGAGTACTGTACCGTACCTCGAATTGAGCACCAGATACTAAGGCAATGCCGGTGACACTTTGGTTGGATCCCTAAATATGTACTGTACATGTACATAGGTAGCTTGTCACAGCTTCTCGCGGCTTTATTTCCATGAACTTGTCTCAGTACTCACAATGGGACTGAGGGCCTGTTCGGTGCGTCCGTACTTTTTGAACGCAATAGTGGATCTCATTAAAAATAGTGTATTTATCAATTATTTAGTAGCAAGCCGGCATTGCATCACCACACTATTCCATAATTGAGATCACTTCACACTGGCTTTTTTTTTAATTTCACATTCATCAACACATCTGCATTGAAATCATATTCTCTCAAATCTATGATTGATTTGTCTATATTTAACCATCTTTATTAGCTAGAATTCATGAAAGTAGTGAATAAGAATGTCACAGTATGATATCTCAATATAATATCTGAATGTGAAGAATGATAATACTCAAATCTCTACAATTTCAATCTCACTGAGTCAATAGTCAGATTTCTAATTATTATTATTCTCTCAAACATTCTCTCAAATGCACTCTGAAACACTCTCTTATTAAATATCTACTATCTCTTGAAAGTGAACACTTGCTTCTCAAATCAGACATCTCAGAATATTATGAAGTTTTATGATAAAAAAGACCCTGCTTACTGAACTCTTAAAGATGAAAAAGAAAGAATTGAATACTGATAATAATAACTTCAAACTCATGAGTTGAAATCTTGTCACACAGGCTGTCAAGCAGTCAACAGGTCAGATAATAATCAAAGAAGTATATAATAATCAGTGAAGAAAGATTAAATGAATTTAAATACTTTAAATAAGATATAAAAATCAGATATTCAGCTGAATATATAATCATAGACATGAAATCTATATCAATAATAAAGAAATTATGAATAAGTATTTCTTCAAACATTCTGACCTTGAAATCTTTTGAGAATATAGCTCTGAATTTCAAGAACTTATCAGAGAATTGCTTAATAACAGGCTTATCACTGATCAGTTTATAATTGAATATTATATAATAATATCTAAAATGAGAGAATCTTCTGTAATAAATTCAGAAACTGAAGAAAGTTTATCATCTTCTGTAATAAATTTATCAGTCTTCAGAAGTATCAATTATATAAAAAAACACTTAAAATTAGAGAATATTAATGAGAATATTCAAAATCTGACTGCAGCTGTAAACAGCCTCAATCAGATTAATATATAGATTGAAGTTGAAAGAGAAACTGAGTAAGTTATTAAGCTATTCATAAGTGAGATGCAGAATCTACTACTAGAAGATTGAAAGATTGATGATGAGATTTCTTATTAATAATATGCTATAATTTCATACTGTTTTCTTAACATTCAAGAAGCTCAGCTGTATCTAGGTTTGAAATATAGCTCAATCAGTGTTCAGTGAGATTATATTATATAGATATTAAATGAGATGTCACAGTCACAGTGAGAATAGTAGAAGAAATAATGAAGAAAGTAGTGATAAAAGTAGTAATAAGAGTAGTGATAAGAGCAGTAGTAATAATGCTTTTGAATCATTCTTTTTGTATCTTATTCCTTTCAAAATAATCAAGAACATGACTGAATTTTACTCAATATTACAATAATAATGAATTACACTTACAAACATGTGTTTTAAAACATCACAACTTTTTGTATGAGATGATTAGATGATTTAGAGCATTTTATTGACTTATAAATTATAATATAATATTATATACAATGAATACATCAATATATTATCATTTTGTATTTTTGAAAGTGAAATTATGTGTAGAATTCAACTATTTTTATTAAGATATATATAAGTAATCTTAATTCATATGTCAATTGTATATGACTTACTGATTAATCTTTCATATTTTTAATATATCTCTTATAGAACTCTTATATTTTCTCTGCAATCTGATCTCTTCTTTTAATTATCTTATTACTATTCTCTCTTTCATTCATTATATTTGACTGTTCTGACTTCATTTCATTATTTAAATTCTCTGAATTAATATCATCTAGATCTTCATACTTATTTATAAAGTTATAAAGTGCTGTTAATATGAAAACAAGATTAATTTAAGTAATAATAAAGAATTCATCTCTTTCTTAATTATATATTTAAAATCACTGTTTAAATACTCTGAAAACTTACTCAATTACACTCTACAAACTGACATGCTGAAGATTGAATAATTTCTTCTTATTAACAGATTGTTTATCTGTCTTTTCAAACTTCTTAAGATAATATCACATATCAGAATAAGAAATCAATATTTATAATATAGCGGAACCGAAGCAGTGACTAGTTGATGATGATATGTAAGAGTAGTTGTTTGAGAAGCTGTATGAGTAAGCTTGACTATCTTGCTTGAATAGCAAGCTTGTAGGCTACAGGGTTATTGTAAGAATATCACAGATATGATACTTAGTATACTAAGAAGATTGTATAAGATATACAGTAACTCTTGTGTATATTTCTGTAGAAGTAAAATAAATCACTGACTTCTTTGATGAAGAGTCAGCATCTAGCTATTCTATATAGATAATAAATGAATACTCTTCTCTCATTTCACAAGTGAGAATAGTCAGAGTGATATCTCAGCAGTGTCTCATTGTCAAGAAAAAGTAATCTGCTAACCTTGTATAGAAGCAGGGTTCTTATATTTATCAATCAGATCTTTCTATAATATATCTGAATGATGTTATAGAGTGATTGAAAACCAGTTCAGACAGGATGAAATTATCTGCATGAAAGCAATGAGCTGTGTGAAATCACAACAGAGTCTTGACATGACTGAGAGTGTGACAATGCTCTCCTCTTTAAGGGCATAGTCTCTATGTTCTCAAGATTACTGGATTAGAAATTATCTTTGTTATATAGCAACAGTTGTCAATCAATTTGACAGCATGTGTGCTGCATGTGGTACAAAGAAATAGATGAGTTTTTCTGCTGACTGTGTAGGTCTTCCTTTTCCCATCATCATTCAAACCAAACACATGGTAAGTGAGTTCCTTATATATCAATTTGAAATGTGAAAAATGTAGTTAACAAGTGGCTTGCAGATCTCCCATCATATACCATCCTACATATGGAATTCCCTGCAAAAGTGGTGTGTTTTAGGGGCAAAGCTAACAGTAGTGGCAGGATTTTTCGAAAAGATCCCCCTCTCCATGAAACATTTTTCTTCCCCCCCTCCCAATCACAACAGTGAGTGCATGGAAGTATCGTCCTTGGAGGACAATCAAGGGCTTATTCTGACATTTTCTAGTGGGTAGCAAATGTCTTCGTGATGCGGCGGCGGCCTCCGTGGCCGTCAAGAAAGCCAGGTTGGAGGCGAAAGCGTGGGTCTCCGAGGTGGAAAAACACCTCAGGATGGCTGGCCCCAAGAAGGGGTCAGCCAGCGCCGCTGTTGGAAACGCCACAGAGATCAATCACTGGTTGGAGAGGATCTCACTCCAACTGGAGCAGATGACTGAGATGCTTTGCAAGTTGATAAGTTGACATTTTATGCATTTCTCATGTTCTCCTGCGGCGCTGCAGCGCTAACTTCTCAGCAGGCAAAGATGTCAGTGCTGAAGACTTCAACAGTGGAGGATGAGTTTGATGAAGATGTGATTGTTGATAAGTAGACTCTGAGATTCCTTCTTTTTACTTTTTCAGCAGGCTGCAGCCTCATTAGGTTAGCAGCAGCCCGCAGGTCAATTAATATTAATCTTTTTATTGATTTCAAATATCTCTTTCTTTTTCTTATTAACTGCTTCAGGAATTTTACACTTGTGTAGTCTCATTAAACTTCTAAAAAACCCTTTGAGAGAAAATAGAAGAAGAGTGCTACAGAGTCTACAAGGCACCAGCTCATCATCATGAGATCATCTCTAAAAAACTCTTTGAGAAAATGAGAAGTCTTAAGCAGCATTTCTTGTCCAACATCTCTGACATGTAACAGGGCAGTCTCTACTAGCTGTCTTATAGATTGCAATCTCTTCCTCAGCATTTTTCAAATACTCAAGCAGTTCTCATGAATTCTCTGATGATGAATAACCTTCTCATTTAATGAGATATTGAAGCTTATTATAATATGTTCACTTGTTCAATATTTTCTTCACAAGATATTCAGTATCACTCTCAATCTCAATATCATTCAGCTGAGACAGCTTCACTCTGAGATGTTACTTATAGAGCTTCAAATAGAAAATGTGAAAAACAGAATGAATTGATTTCAATTCTGTGAGTAATTTCAACTCATATGCCTGCTTACTCATCACTCTTGTTATCAGAAAAGATTCTAGTCACTGCTTACTGAGCTTCTTATATAATCTCATTATCTTGATATTCTTTGCTGAAAGTAGTACTTGATTCTCTATCAAGAACTTTATTAGAAGATGTTTTCAATTATAGTATTTTATCTGCTACTTCTGAGCATGATGAATGCTTTTCATCATCTTCTTATAAATTTTATTCAAAAGTTTCAATCTCACTTTTACTTCTGATACTGAGAAATACTCTGTTCTCTGTATCTATCTGACATTCTGACTGTCTATCTCTCTCTTTGAAATGTTGTCCGCGACATCACTGAATAACAAAGGATTATATTCATAATAAGCATAGAAAGAAGATATCTTTAAGATTACATTCTTTGCATTATTATATACAAATTTGATGATCAGAAGATGTTTGAGTCAATCATTCTGATAATATGAATAGAACACTTAAAGATGCTGTTCTAGTGTCTGATTCTGATATTCAGTCTGATCATCAGTCTGCAGATGAAAAGCAGTACTGAGAAGATATCTTATTATAAGATGATAGTAAAAAGTCAATCAGTACTTGCTGATGAAGAGGAATTCTTGATCTGTTATTAACAATTTCAGAGCATTATAATCATGAATAATAATATCTAAAAATAGGTCAGTCAATTCAGAGGCTTTAACCTTTTTATAAGTAGAGATACATCTGATCATCTTCATAAAGCAGTCAATAATGACTAAAATCAAGTTATATTCTTTGACTCTTGTTGACTTTGACAGATCAACTATGAAATTCATTAATAGATTCTGTTATAAGCTCTTTGAAACAGACAGTGATACTAACTCACTGTATTACTTATACTGCAGAATCTTTATTCTTTGATAGATATTGTAAGTCTTAATATACTCTTTGACATCTGTTCAGAGCTTGTCTCAAGTGTATTTATATTTTAGAAGCTTCTCAGTCTTCTCTAATCTGAAGTGCTCTATATAAGAATTATTATAATGAATTCTCAATAACTTCTGACATATCATTCTGCTACAAGAGACAAAGACTGAATCATTCAGCAGTAGAAGTTCACATTCTTCTAGTTATCAGTGACTTGATTTCTTAGCAGCACTGCCCTGCTCAGAGTCTGTCTCTTTCAAGTTTAAATCAGATTCTTTCTTCTTCAACTTCTGAATTTAAGCTGCAGTAGAGACATTCTTCTTCTGTAACTCATCAATGAATTTCAAAAGTAGTCAGATTGAAAGATTATAGACTGTTTCATTCTTTATCAATTCAATAATTATAAGATATAATATGAGAAGCTCATGATCTTCAGTATCAGTTCTCTGCAGAGACCTGAGTTCTCTTTCATCTTCTATACTGAGTCACACAGCTGCCTCTTCAGTGCTGTTCTCAAGCTTTAGAGAATCTTAACCCTCTGCAGCCAGCTTCTTCTGCAGTAATAACAGAGATTCTTTTGTAGAATTCTTCTCTGCATCAATGATATTATAATCAGGTTATCTAGACAGTGTGTCAGTGAGATTAAACTGATCTGAACAGTATTGAATATAGAAATCATACTCTGAAAGCAGCTCTGCTTATCTGACTTGATATTCTATCAAGCTCTTTGTTATCAAGAAGTAATGCAGATTTGTATGATCAGTGAGAACTTACACTGAGTACTTACTATTCTGAAGATAATATCACTAAATCTTAAAGAATTCAACAATTACTAACATCTTCTGATTATAAGTATTATACCTTCTCTGTATGAGTGATAACTTCTTGAAGAAGAAGATCACTGATCTTCATTCACAGTGTCTTATAGACTCTGTGAAAAAGTCTTCTCTCACAGATAATTCATTATCTATTTCTTCAGAAGTAATTATTCTCTGATTCTTTCAACATTGAAAGATCTTCAGTGTTAACTGTGAAAAGATTTCATAGATCTCATTCTCAGATACATCAGTCTCACACTGACTGAGTAAGTTGAGATTAAAGTGATTCAGTATTATAGCATCTGTGAAAGCTTGTTTCAATTCTGCAAATACCTGCACAGTGTCTTGAGTGAGAATAAACAGTCTCATTTTTCTGTCTTTCACACTTCTCTTCAACAGATCTGTAAGAGGGGTAGTAATTCATAAATATATATAGATGAATCATCTGTAGAAATTTACAAATTCTAGAAACATCTGCATCTCACAGTACATCTGCAGCACTGACCAGTTCTCAATGACAGAGACTCAGCTTCTATTCATTGAAATGTCATTCATCTTAATAATATAATCTAAGAAATCAATCTTCTGTATGTAGAACAAGCATTTTTCAGTGTTTGTATAGAGTTGATACTGTCTCAAGTGACTCAATACTTCTCAAATATGAATATCATGTTCTTTCTCTGATTTCAAGAAGATTAAAATATCATTCAGATATACTATGCAGGAGACATTAATAAGACTCTGCAGTGCCTCATTTATATAGATCTGAAAGATGACTGAAGTGTTATAAAGATCAAAAGATAAAACAAGATATTCAAAATTGCTGTACTTGATATGAAAAGCTATTTTTCAAATATTGTCTTCATTAACTCTGATTCTATGATAGACATTCTGTATATCAATCTTTAAAAATATCTTTGCTTCAGATAATTAATCAATCATCTCATTGATTAACAGTAATGAATAGCAATTCTTAACTGTCATCTTATTAAGACCTCTGTAGTCTACACATAGATATAGTCTATCATTCTTCTTGAGTACAAAGAGTATAGATGTCTCTGTCAGACTCTTTAATAAATGTATTCAGTTCTTTGATTACACTTTTTCAAGATATTTGCACAGAACATTCAACTTCTTTACAGACAAGTTGTAAAGAGATCTGTACAGCATCATTACATCATCTTCAAGACAAATCTTATATTATATCTTGATGTCAGGAAACTTTGCTACTTCTCTTTTCAAAAAGACATTCTTAAAATCTGTAAAGAGATGTTGTGTATATTCATCTTCAATAATAGATACTGCTGCTAATCTTGCAGTGAGAGTAATGACTTCTTCATCTATCTTCAAGTTTCAATCATCTGCTACACAGTATATTAACTCAATTCTTTTCTCAAGATTCTTTCAATGAAACTCTTCAGATTTCTCTATCACTGTCTCTTCATTAGTGAGATGATATCATCACATCTGAATAACTCAGTTAATGAGAGAATTGTTTTCTCTCAATCACAGAAGATCTAGAATAATATTCTTATCTATAATATTGACTATATGAAGAAGCAGACTGCTCTTCTTGAAGATTTCTTCTGAGTCTGTGATCACACACTTTGCTTGAATTATGTCAAAATGATGATATTTTATTTCATCTGTAAATTTTATATGATCTGACAGATCTATCTTCTTTCAATTCTTCATCAAAGAAAAGAAATAGAATATGAAGTTAGTATTTACTCTGAAGTTGAGTAGACATCTCACTAATATCTTCTCATTCAGAATATGCATTGTGATTATAACATAAACTCAGAGATATAAGAATTGTTAATTCTTTTCTTTCTCTTCTTTATCTTCTGCAGATACATTTATCAGAAGAGAAGTTAACTTTAAGAAAATATCTTCTCAGTTTCTTCTCTTCTTTAGCTTCTTGCAATCACTGACATAGTGATTATCAGCTCTGCAGTTAAAACAGAGATCTTTGTCAAATCTTTTTTAATATTTCTTCACAGTGAGTGAAGAATCAGAATACTTGAAATTCTTCTTTACTTTCTCTGCACTGAAGCTATCATAGCATTATTTAGATTCTGTTATTAATTGCTTAGAAGAGATCTTGTTAATCTTTTTCTCAGAGAATTAATTATTCAAATAGATCTGAGAAGCCAGGTTAACAAGCTCAGTGCAATTGATTGATGAACTCTGATATTATGATATCATTGTTCACACCTTGTAAGTCAGCTTTATAAGATAAAGCTGTATTTTTAATTGATTCAAATTATCAGTCAGTTTCTCTCAATATTCTTCAAATCTTGCATTGAAATTGAAAGAATTCTCATTATCTCATTGATATAATGAGTTGAACTACTGCACTGTTATGAAGCTGCAGTTACAGTAATCTTCAATTTAGTTCAGTAGAAAGTTCTTGAATTCTTCTCAAGTTATGATAGTATTAATACACTCAAGCTCTCTCTTCTTGATAGCTCAAGTAGTCACAGAGATGCCTTCAAGAAGGTTGACAGTGTATATTACTCATATCTCATAAGTATTATACTGGCTCAGATTAAGGTGGAATTTCTGTTCAAGAGTACAGATAAAGCTGTGGAATTCAGACAAGATGTTTTTCTTATATCTCAGTGAATCTCTGATCTTAATCTCTCTATCTCCATGATAGATGTAGGTGTGTAGAGGCCACAGTAGTAGCAGAATAATTGAAGAGTCTATGTCAAAATATACAGCAGGTTCAGAAATCTCAGATTTCTGTCAGAGTAGAGATGTACACACTCTAGAGAATGATATAGTGTTTTTCTCAGAGAATGAGATCAGATCAGTTTCAGCACAGATGTATAAAATTATATCAGTCTGTTAGAGCTCAACTGATTCAAATGTATAATCAGATTGAGTGATTTGAATTGTAATATGATGAAACTGAAGCAGTGACTAGTCAGCAGCAATATATAAGAGTAGTTATTTGAGAAGCTGTATGAGTGAGCTTGACTATCTTGCTTGAATAGCAAGCTCATAGACTACAGAGTTATTGTAAGAATATCACAGATATAATACTTAGTATACTGAGAAGATTGTATAAGATACACAGTAACTCTTATATATATTTCTGTAGAAGTAAAATGAATCACTGACTTCTTTAATGAGAAGTCAGCATCTAGCTATTCTATATAGATAATGAGTGAATACTCTTCTCTCATTTCACAAGTGAGAATAGTCAGAGTGATACCTCAGCAGTATCTCATTGTCAAGAAAAAGTAATCTGCTGACCTTATATAGAAGTGAGGTTCTTATATTCATCAATCAGATCTTTCTATGATATATTCAAATAATGTTATAGAGTGGTTGGAAACCAGTTCAGACAGAATGAAATCATCTGCATGAAAGTGATGGGCCGTGTGAAACCGCAATGAGGCCTTGGCGCGGCCGGGAGCGTGACAATATTATAAAGACTCTTTTTGAATAATCAGTATTTATAAGAAAATAGCAGAACTTCTTCACTGAAAAGTTATCATACTCTTGAGTCAGGTTAAAAACATGTATATCATGAGCAGAATCTTTCATTTCTGAGTATATATATACAAAGTTCATCTCAAAATCATATACTGTCAGAATGTTCTGTGAGATTCATTCTTTTTGATTTTATCAGTTAGATTACTGATTAGAAGAAATGAATATTGAAAGATAAGTATTATCTAATACTTTAATACAATCTCTAAAGAATGATCACTGCTTAGAATTATCACTGAGTAAGTCTTTGTTATATTTTATAGAAGATTTTAACAATTGTATAAGCTGACTGTAAAGTATACAGAGTGCTTTCAACATCTCATGAAATACTCTATATAAAATAAGTGAGTATTTTTAAAACAATAAAAGTCATATTATGATTATATAAGAAGCTAATTCTTACTTTGAAACTGTATTAAGTGAATACTCAAATCTTTTCATAGTATCTTAATATGAAGATTCTTGTATAATAATATAGAGAAATATCATTACTTTCTCTTTCATCTTCATTATATCTGTAACACTGAATTCAGAGATAGTTATATACTTTTTAAGAAGAATAATGAATTGAATGAATGTTTCTCAATGAAGATGTGTGACATTCTTAATATAATTAGAGTGAGTATTTGAATTCAGCAGCTGAGCAGTATACAGAGTACTGTTAAAAGATCTTTTATATAATATTCTTTTCTATAATATCAAAGAGATTCTTATCATCAGATTCATTATAACTATTTTAGTGAGCAGTTATTGATAAGAACTGATATACTGTTGAATTGTGATTTATAGAATCTGCTTATTCATCTTATTATTATTCTACTGTTGACTATTTTTCATACTGATAATCTTTACTGACAATATTCTTCTATAGAATAAAGAAAGAAGAAGCTTATAAAATATATTCTTTTTAAACAGAGTTCAGAGTCTGTTCAAAAAGAACACATTTTTATAAGCTTCTTTCTAATCAATATTAGTTAACTGTCTTCATTATGAATATTATTCTATACTATATTATCTCTAAAAGTGCTATTCTACATCATCACATGCTGTTGAAGTTAAATATAGCTTATTCATAAGATCTTGACAAAAGATGCAAGTACAGCTGCTCAATCCACTGAACATCTGGCCTTTTTCATCTGTACTTTGTAAAAAGCAGCTGTACTATTAGTACAGATACTCTGCCCACTGAACAGTCATGATATTGAGACTGTACTTTTTAAAAAAAGTGGAGATCCGTACAAAAAGAACGAGTACACACGGACGCACCGAACAGGCCCTGAAGCTTGTTGATACTATCCATCGGCATTGGCCAAGGCTAACTACACTTCTGAAAAGGAAAGGAAAACCTTTCGACGAATGACAAACAGATGATTCTGAATGCTTATTCACGCAGAACACCTTTTCAAAATTCCGATCGAGCTCAATGAAGTCTCAATTAAATGAATGACAATTGGAGTTTTATGTCCGGTATAAAAAATATAGGAGACAACAATCTTCAAGCCTCGGCCATGATGTATGTACGGTACGACACAACATCCATATACAACCCAATCAACCTATTATTTAAAACAGCATTGCAGATACCATCACAGTGAGAATGACTGACAATCCTACTTGCTGTCAGATGCCGCTCACAAACAAACCCGACGCACCAGCAGTATCACTCGGCGAAGGTGGCGATGTGGGACTGCCGCCAATCACCAACAACCTCAGGGAACAATTCGGTCGTATTCTCATCGACAAGAATCCATTGTTTGAGTACCGCCTTGCCCGTCAGTATCGCCTCGATCTGCTCCTCTGTGCAGACGCCGGGGTCAAGCGCTTAGCAGAACTTAGGATACTGTGGCGGAGGGTCCTGTTTAAACGCAAAAGTGTCGGACGGACCAGACGAACAATCATAATCCCCATCGTTGTCAGGCAATGGCACGACGGTGTCGATCTCGCCCGTGGCAATATCATTGTTGAACAGCACGCCTTGTTCGAGTCGTGCCGGCTTCGATCCTTGCAATGACGTGAAAGTGAGAGTATTCAATTGATATATGAGAGATTATTCACAATCATTTATCTCTATAGGGGGGTATTTCGGCATAGTCGATCGCGAGTCTCACCGCCTCGCCGCCCATCCAGTTGCAGGCAAAGTCGCGGTCGCCATAGATGAGAGAAACCTTGATGTTATTCTCGAGCAGGAAGGCCAGATCCTCGATCCAACCTGGACGCGGATAGTCGCCAATGCCTCGGAAGGCTGTCGATACGGCTCTGTTGGACTGGGTCCAGTTGAGGGGTACGCCAAGTGCGGCTTGGACGTGTTCCTGATTCACACCACCCCTTGTAAAATGGGGTAGGGAATGCGGCCGGCTCGACCTGCGAAATGTCGTAGTAGTTGCGGCCGGAGTGCCGAAGATATGGCCCGCGACCCTCGCTGGAGCAGTAGTTCTCAGCGGTGCTGCAAACCTCATTGACGGTGTCGTTGATGCCGGTGTTATCTGGGTCCCAGACGGCGGAAAGAACGCGGCAGTCCTCGACCATATCGCGACAACCGCCGCGCTTAACGAGGGAGTCGACCATATAGTCATAAATCGTTTCATTGACTGTTTCGATACCGTATGTGTTTTTGAATGCAAACTCTGGGTCTGAAGGCCACTGCACTTGGCGGTCAAGGCAGCCGTTGATGATTTATGAGGGTATCAAGATTCAATACTTTCATGTCTCCATCGTCATCTTTCCAGGTACCATTTTCGATCTTCTGGTTCCGTTCTTCGAAGTACGCGAAAAATGCTGGGCCGTGACGGCCACCATAAGGCTCAGTGGCAAGGCTGATTCGAGAGTCCCCTGGGTGGTAACCGGGGAATTCTTGGAACCATACCTGCGCAAAGTGCCGAAGAGCAATTGCAGCATTACGACTATCCAGTGCAGTGTTTTCCGGCTCGTTACTAGGGTACGTTCCGACCAGTAACGTAGCATTCTGCTCTGGAATTGGATCATCAGGGCCCAACTTGGTGAGCTCTCCTATGGATCAAATTTTTCGTGTAGTTGGCAAGGGTATCGTAGGATAAGCCGACCTGTGCCGGGTGATCCAAGAAGAGCATATTAACTGTTTTTATTTTTAGCACTATATTCGCAGGCTCGCAATATTGGGGAACAGGAGAGTGATCCATACCTTCATTGTTCCATGAATATTGATTCAGTATCGTTGAATTTGAATCCGGATTGATGATGCAAGGACCGTTTTCAACCAACAAGCCCATCTGTTTCCGGCAGTCAGCAAATGCAAATACTGCTATCCCTATCCACCTCTCCATCTCCACCCTCAAGGAGCTTTGGTTTAGGGCTGTCGCATCACTTGATTATAGCAGAGCATTTGATGCATCAAAAGAGGAAGAGAAGTACGAAAAAGTTGAGAAGGCGAGAGATAAAAGCAAACTGGGGGCGTCACCATCGAAGAGCTCCCGGGTCCTCCATTGATCCATTTAGACAAAGGAGCATTCTCTGGATCTTTTTTTGCTTCAAAAAACCAGAAGAATGTGTTGATGGGGTAGTCTTGGTTATCATCGAGACCCTTCAGCGTATGACTTGACCCCCGACGTAGTCTCGCAAAGTCCTGGCTGCCGTTGATGTGAGCTAGGGATGAGTCTAGAGTAGGGATATGTTTGCTCACCTCTTTGTAAGTGATCTTAGCACCATCACCAAATTTGGATTCCAAGCCTGTGACCCCTTCTGGCTTGAGAAGGAATTGGGCTAGAGCTGGGAGACCAGCTACCAAAAGGCACAGTGCCGATTTGGCGAAACACGACATGTTCAACGTTTATAGGGAGACTCTCACGACCACCTGGAGGAGGTTATTTCTGAAGAATACGTCTCAAACACCACCAACTTCGACGCTCAAGGGCGGGCTGCCTCTGCCTAAATAACTCCAGCAACGTCCCATCCTGCTGGAAGATATCCGGCAGTCGTGTGTTCCATGTCGTTGGTTCAAGCGGGGTTGAAACTACGGACCCCTAAAACAATCTGACAGCGCGCCGGCATTTGCTGATCTTTGCTAGAGTCCCTTGACACCCTATCTTCGCAGCAGAAGCACTGCTTCCCTATCCCCACCTCTCGCTGGTTAACGGACTGTGGGTATGGCGTCCCCACGCGGTTGCAGGGACCGAGAACTGAGCTCAAGCCGATATCACCTAATGCTGCTCAAAACCCCAGCACCCCGCAGATTTTGATGTCAGTCTGCCGAGTTTCGGGATTACGCAGGGAAATATAATAATGCGTCGTTTACCGGTGAAATGCGCAGAAATGGGCAGTGGAGGGTTGAACCTAATTGGAGCCCTACGCGCCAAGACGCTGGTTTGCGAAGGTGGAGCCCCTTTGCCGCAGCCCCAGGAAGAGATCTACATAGTTAACTTACATTTGCCGCGTTTTGTACGGAGTATTCGGCCCACAAAGGTCACAACATCCTCCAACCAGGAATTTTCTCAAATGTCCTTCCTTCCTGTATCATAAGGGAGCAGCGAACTCATCCGACAGATTCATTGGGAAGAAAAAGAAAATTGCCCACAGAAGACTCAATCAACACCGCCTCCCGAGTAACTATGTACAGTACATAATTGAACGAAAGTTATGGCGATGGGGAAATCCGGGCATTAGTTATGCATTTATTTCGTCCATAGTGGTACGCTTGGGAAATGGCGGCGTCCCACGAAATCCGCTCCAAAACGTTTCCCTACGACATCACCAGAACCTCTCTAAAACTCAGTCCCAGTGCTTTACTGGCTCATAGGAATCAACAGCCCAAATCCCTTGATGGTGGGTGGTGGGTGGTGGGTAGTGGGTGGTGGTTGGAGGTTCCCTTTCCATCTACCATTCTCTTCGCCTACAGAGCAGTACGGCTAACTTCTCCCCTGATGATCTAACGGAGATTGATATCCTTGCGTGTTGAGTGAGACGGGGTCGTTCCACGGTTCTTCCCATCTATCGGTACAGATTAGCTTCCAACAAACATGGTTTCCCCACCTTTTCCCCGATTGCCGAAAGCCAATAGATAACTACCGTTTAGCGATGGCCAGCGCCAGCCAAAGTACATGCGCGTGGTCATCATTATTTATCTCCGGTCTCCCAGTCCGACGCCATCCCCGTATCTGGACGGCGTGACATAAGTGAGTAGGAATGATAGTCAGAAAGAAGCATTCTCCGTGGTCATGGTGGTTCTGATTTCAAAAGCAACGCTTTGTAAGTCTAGAATCAGCTAGCTTTTCTAGGTATGACGGCGAACTCCTCTGAAAATGGACGATGGCACAGAACCTCGCCGTCTCCTCGAGAACTAGAAAAGCTAGCAACCATATTTGAAACTGGTGCGGCGGATACTTGGAAAAGGCTCCACGGCAGAGACTGGAGAACGTCGGGTGGCTCCCGTTATTAAATTCTGACAGAGTAGACTCGAGGAGCGTGGTTTCTCTTTGTTTCGCGAGTTTTCTCATGGAGTGATACATTTGTGTTCCTCTAAGTGAAGCAGGCTGGTTTCAAAGTCGAAAAGTGGTCCACGAATGGGGGGCTTCTTACGGCGGGAGGCTTGATCATGAAGATGATGACAGAAAGAACTCGGCGGTACATGTAAAAAAAGACACAGATGAGTGAATACTTGAGATCAACGTGCATTTTTGTCAAAGTAAATCGTAATTGTACACTTTTGATCTTGCGTGGGGTTCAGAAGTGGCTATCTGATACGCCCTCGTGCCATAAAAAAAAAAGTAAAGAAATAACGGGAATAAAAAAATACAATGCTTTGATTCATCAGCAGCTTTTCCTTCTATTTGTACGTGGGAAATAGGAATGATACACTGCCAGTGAGTGGATGAAGAACTGCTAGACCATCACATATCAGTTACATTCATTTCACTGTCAGGAGGAACTCTCACACAATGGAGAATTGATGGATCAGGAAGAGAAAACGAACTGTAGCTTGGTTATCTCCGAACTCTTACTTAGGAGTTTATAATTAAATTTCATTAATTTAATATATTATATATAAATTTCATTCTGTCAAGAAAACGGAGTTGCATCGCTTAGGTATAATATATTTGTCGTCTCTACTGCCACCCCTGACAAACTCACATACCAGACATCACCTTTGCGAAGACGACTTATTGTAATATACAGAATCCATTTTCCATAGCCTTCGCAAACCACGGATAACACGCTTTACTATTGTTGCCTGTACATTCTCATGTACTTCCAAGCCACTTTCGTTTACCCACACAACACCTAGCTACATACTTGCTAGAATATCACATACACGTGCGTATGGCCCGTTTGGCATATTGTTACACTTACCCTCACTTGGGATTAAAAGAGGCGGCTATCATCGATCGTCATCTGCTCTGTGGGAAAGCAGAGTATTCTCATTCCCATCACCTCCCTCCCCTGAATCAAGCCAGCATCCCTTCAAACCAACATTTGCAGCGAAACAACGCAGTCCATCTTTACCAGCTGATCAACTCCTTGCGAATAATCATTCACTATCATGAAATATTTAAGCAACATGCTCTTCAGCAGCAGTGGAATCAGGAAGTATAGCAAGTGCTTGATGAAGAGAAAGCAGTCTGGGGAATAAACAATGTGTTGTACAGTACATTCAATGAGAGGAGCAGAGTTATCATCACCAAGAACATAAACTAGAGTAAAGCCTCACAGGTAAATGAAAATATGACACATTTATCCAGAAAGATACTCTGAAGAAGGACGTATTACCTCTTTCCCCCTTCTTCTTTGCCGGTGCAGTCTGAGAGTTATTTCAAAGGCGATGCTCAGAGGTTAGTAGCCCTTGGCTGTGATGGCCTCGGGTGCTCCTTAAAGTGGGTAAAATAATGTCATTCCCTTCGAGGCTGGCATCAAGCCTGACCCAGCTCGACATCGGAGTAGAAGCAAAGAGTCGCACAGTCCAGACGTCAAAGGGCTCCATTTCAAGATATGCCGGATCATTGATGATGAGCCAGCCAGCTTCCCGCTGGCGCGGGGGCAGTGAGGAAGAAGAAGGTGCCATGACTTTTCAGATATGCTTCCGTTGTCGGTGGTATTGAGGCAATGCAGATCGAGAGCGAAGGTCATTTAGGCCTGTATAACAGCTGGAGATACACTGTGGACCTCAGAGACGGGTTCTCCAGCACTGATGGATGGAAAAGCAATAACTTTCCATGGCGTATGCATATCCACGCCTATTTTAGTCTCAATTAATGTTTAGCAGAGATAGATGCATTTTTCCGGACTGCAGGGTCTATTTAACTTACAAAGGCTCAGAGATGATGATCTGTTGATCACTGACGTGCACAGGGTCAATAGTTTAAATATCTTAAAAGTAACACTCATTATATGGTTTTCTTTTCTTTGTTTTTGTCCTTTTTTGTTTTAATTGAAGCTCAATTATATAGGTTCTTGGTTTATAATGTAAAATTGATATAACCTGCGCTGAATGTAGCTTGAAATAGAGGTGAGTGATGACGAAAGGATAGATAGAACAGGGGTTTGGAAGTTGAGCCTGCGCAGAAAAGACGCAGAACACTGGTTAGAAAACAAGACATTGGTTTGATTAGAGAGTACTTCTCAGTTTCCATATATGTGGAGTACACCATTGACAATTTAAAACAATGGATATTCAGCTTGTATCGATCGGAAAATGTAGAGTACTCTTGGTTATGAAAATAGCTGGCGGGCATGGACATGACTAGTTAAATAAGCCAGGGGTGGAACCATGGATCTTCTGGCATCCCATGTTGACAAAATCCCTAAAATGGTTTGGGGCCCATTAGGGGCCTGATGCCTAAAGTCCGGCTTGCCAGTTAGGCGTCAAAGCCTCTATAGCATGAACTCCGGTAACTATTGGAATCCCCATCCCGGCAGCTACCAGCTACCGTGCCCAACGCGCTGTCCCATTGAGATTATGAGATGGTGATCGAATTTTTGCCTAGTAGTTTTTTTTTTTCTCCGTTACTTTTCCCTGCATACATGGCTGGATATCAGGACAGTCAACAGCTCTATTCACACTGTATGCATTTGTGTATTATTATTGTGTGTCTGAGTAGGACACTTAATACATTGTCTCTGTAAGATTGAATGAAGCCAGACAAGGGTTAGGCGAAGGTCTCCTGGTGGGGGCTTACCAAGGGCAGTCGATGACATCAGCGCTGTTGGTGCTTGATCATATTATGAAGATCTACTAGCCAGCCCGCATCGTGATGGAAAACCAAGGCTATATCAGATTACTGTGTTTGGAATCGACAATTATGATGAAAACCCGCATACTCAAAGTACTCATCAAGCATGATTTGTATAAATGTATTACTGGCTCTTCTTCCCCTATGACGTTTTCCTCAGCCCCCACCAGCCGCGCCCCTCACCTGACCTGCGCTTCATCGCCAAGACCTGCGACAATCAAGATTTTTAATACCAACCAGCCGTATCCGCCGCTGATGCCGCGATCTCTCTCCCCTTCTCGTTATTATTCCTCTTCCTCCTTAACCTCTCTCTCCCTCTGGTTAACTCTCTAATTTCCCGTTCTCTTATATTCCCTTGTATCTCCTTGTATCCCTTGTCGTTGGCTAGCCGCTTCTTCCTTCCTGCCCTTCCTTCTTCTGCCCAGGTGGCTTGTTCCATTCGCCTTCTTCGGCGCTTTACTACCGCCAGCCATCCCCTCGAATTACCATCTATCGGCAGCCAGGCTCCTTTCCCTCCCACCACTTTTCAGACCTGGGATCGATTTTTACCCTGACCTGATTGTCGTTCCTTTAAACTCCTTCTGGCCTCCCTATCATTGACATCCTCGCTTTGAGTCCTCGCAAAGCCGTCGTGATTTGCCGCCTATATACTTCCCGTCCTTCGACGGGATAGCCTCCCTCGAGCCACTCCTTATAACCTAACGGACCTAACCTGACCTGACCTGACCTCCTGTTCATTATTTGAAAGACGCTCCGTACAATCAGCAGCTCCTAGGAGACTGATTTTGCCCGTCATGAGTACTATTCAGAGCCTCAAGAATTTCATACGTCATGGCAAGCAGGCCCGCGTAGCCACACCCCACGCGGAGCCCACCACAAATGTCTCTACCATCCACGCAGAACAACAGAAACAGCCTCAAGGCCAATATCCTGCTATCCGCGGTTTGGATGCTTTGGATTGCAGATTACCACCAAAGGATGCCTCTAATGCGCCAGGATCAAAACAAACAGGGACAGCAGCTAATAAAGGCTCACGAGTGCATGAGTCGGAAATCGAGCAGATAATCGCGGAGGAGAGACGGAGTAGGTCAATGATGCCAAAATACCCGGGACTGGAGAGATGGGAGTTAGTCGAGAAAATGGGCGATGGTGCTTTCAGTAATGTATATCGAGCCAGAGATACGACTGGGAAATTTAAGGAGGTTGCTATCAAGGTCGTGCGGAAATTCGAGATGAACTCCAAACAGGTATGCATCCGTCACCTGACACCGGACCATTTCCTTCTTCCCTCTCCCACTCCCCCATTTGTTTTTTAATATGTGGTGTCTTCTTTATTTTCGCATTGCGACACATTCTATCAGCATGCGGCGCGCCTTGGTTCTTTTCACTTTCTCTCTATCCAACTTTCATCTTTATTCTTTCTTCGTTTATACTCTCGCCAACATCGAAGAGTGGAATTCTAGGGCGAGGCTCATCTTCATCCGGACCTCAAGAAGAAGCAAAAACAGGTCGTGGAGGTGAGTCTTACTTGACTCCTAAGTTTTCACCTCTTGGATTCGATTTCTTTTGGATACAAGTTTTGGAATATTCTTTACAAGATTTGGCTATCTAGCACTCTTCGCACCAAACCATACCCCTAGTGTGTCACTAACTCCTTGGTTTTCCATATTTTCTTTATTCCATAAAGCGAGCCAACATCCTCAAAGAAGTTCAAATAATGCGCCAAATCGACCATCCCAATATCGTCAAATTGATCGAGTTCTCAGAGTCGAGGCAGTTTTACTATATCGTCCTTGAGCTTTGCCCTGGGGGCGAACTCTTTCACCAAATCGTTCGGTTGACATACTTTAGCGAAGACCTCAGTCGCCATGTTATCCTACAAGTCGCAAAAGCAATAGAATATCTACATGAACACTGTGGCGTTGTTCACCGGTACGTATTCATTTTACGTAGCATCATGACGTCCCCTTTGATAACGCAACTCCGCTAATAGCCCAATTTTCTTCCTCCCGCAGTGACATCAAACCTGAAAATCTCCTGTTTTATCCTGTTCCTTTCATTCCAACCAAAAATCCAAAACCACCTGCTCCTGGTGACGAAGAAAAAGCCGATGAGGGCGAGTTCACTCCCGGTGTTGGGGGTGGCGGTATTGGTCAGATCAAAGTGGCAGACTTCGGTCTGTCCAAGGTAATATGGGATAGCGAAACGATGA